GGCTGGATCCCAGCCCTGGACTCTCTCGGGCACAGCTGTGGCGTCTGAGCCCCGACAGGTGACGGGCCAGCTGTCCCCTAAGGGCTCCAAGGAAGGAGGCAGCACAGTGTCCGAGGTTTAACCCTTGCCCATCGGCCCACCAGCTCCCCGTCTCCCCCAACTGTCTGGTCAGATCTCACTCCTGGACCTGGGGATGTGTCCCCACGCACCCAGTCGGAGGCCCCAAGCCCTGAGATGTGGGCCCAAGGCCCAGACGCCCTCCCTCTCTGTGTCTCTGGTTGGCTCTGCTCCTGGCCGTCCCCAGGGGTTGTGAGTTGTGGGCAGGCAGCTGAGGGAACGCTGAGGGACCCTCTTGAGTGGTCCCCTGGTGCTGGGCACTATGGTGTCTCTGTGGGTTGACTCTGGGCAGCAGGAACCCTCACCTGGATCCCCTTGGCATCTTGTCCCCTCCCGTAGGATTCTCAGCCTGGCACAGCACACACAGAAGTCTGTGAAGTGACCAGTAGCCTCTTGTGCAGAGTGGCCACTGCATGTACCTCAACGTTCCACCTGCAGGGTCAGGTGAGCTGAGCTAGTCAGCACTATGAGAGGCCAGGAGGGGACCTGGGGACTCAGATGTCCAGTGCCACATGGTTCTACCAGGTTCATGCTGGGTTTATAGGAGGATCCAGAGCAGCTGAGGTTCACAGACATGGCAAGGGACAGTGAGTGCCCCCATCTACCCCCTGAATCAAATACCCATGTGGGTGACCACTGGGTGCTGACCATGCTGGGAAGATGTGTCTGACATGAGCTTGGCAGGACAAAGGGCTTGGCTCTCAGGCTTGGGCTTGAGGGACGCTGGGGTCAGAGGTATGTATGCAGGGGTCAACTTGGGTGGGGACACTTTCCCCAGGGTCGCAGACTGACCAAGGGGTCTGGTCTGAGTTGCTGCATCTATTTCCAAGATATGCCATTATTCATAGATTTAGTATTTGGGGCTTTGGAAATGTGAAATGTCTCACAGTTGGTGTGTGCATATGTATGCAGATCTGCGTGTGCACTGCAAGTGTGCAAAACTATATCCTGCATGTGCAAAAGCACATGCACACACACACACCTGTGTGCCAAAGCACTTACACGCACACATGCAGGAGCAGATGCATGTGTGTGGATGCATGTGCATATGCACAGAAGTGAGTATAAGCACACACATGCATGTTTATCGCTGAAATGTGTGTGCTTGTCTGACAGAGCACGTGTGTGCACGGGCATGTGTGTGTGCAGCCTTGGAGTCCAGTCAACATCAGGCCTTTGTTGGCTTCCCCGCCCCATGTACCCTTATGACAGCTCTCCCCAGTCACAGTGACATTTTTTCTAGAACTATACAGGAGTCCATAGGCCCTGAACTCTGGCCCAGCCTGCTGGCATATGTGTGACCTGGTCCCCCTTGAGGAAGTGTTGTATATTGGACACAGTTCCTGCTATGCCCGAGAGGTGCTTGGATTCCAAAGTACACACACCTGAAGGCTCATCTGTGCCTCCTCTAGTCCTGGGGCTCTCTGGGCAGTCCTGGGCTTGGGCTGCATCACCCCAAGCTCTGTTTCTGTTGTCACGTGTCTCTTCCCTCTGTAGCTCTTCTCCTCTTCTTATAAGGATACCAGTCACAGAGGATGACTCCCTCAACTCCAATATGGCTTCACATTAGTATTACCCATTAGAGGTGTCCCCATAATCTGAAAGTGGAGCAATCCTTCAAAACCTTTTGTAAGCTGAAGTGGCCCAGAGCCAAGGAGCAATTACCATTCATTTATATAGGAAAAAAACTCCAACAATATTTTGAGTGCTTTCAGACCCCAGAATTAACCTACCAAATCACGCCAAGCAGCACATAAACCCTGCAATGACACTAATATATAGTAAACGGAGGAGTGCTGGTGGTGTTGTGTGTTACATGTTAGGTTGTTATCAGAAAGGTCAGCGTTTCTAATCCACTAACAGCATCTTGGAAGAAAGATGAGCCGTTCCCTCCAGTAAAGACTTACCTCCTGGGAGACTCAGTGAAGGGTCTCTGTGAGTCAGAAATGGCTGGGCAGCAGTGGGTTTGGTTGGGGGTTTTTAAAGGAAAAGCAGCATGAGAGGATAAGAAGTCTATGTAAAGCAGAAACAAAGTACGCACAGCATAGTCCCCAAGGAACAGATGGCGATGCCACTCTCGCCCCTGGGTGAGCACTGCCCCTTAGTGACCCCCTGCAAGAGATGCTGATGTCTGGTATCACTTTCCTCATAAAACTGAAAATCCTCTCCTGGTTTCTCCTGTTCTCAAAACCAGGTACTGATGTAGGTATTTCATAAAATACAAGTGTTAAAGAGGCAACTTTTGAGAAGTGGGGATACCGTGCACCTGCAGAGGCAATAATCTCTCTGACACATGCACAGAGAGTGCTGAGGTCTCTTTGAGGGGTGTGGGCTGAAGCCTGGGTCAGAGGACCTCTCAGGCCACATGGCAGCGCAAGAGGCAGCAGTCAGTGGGTGGGGGCTCTTGGCAGGGTGGTCTGATCTGATGGGAGTTTTAAAGGACGGTCAACCCTCCAAGGCTGGAGCTGGGAGACCTGCCAGGTGAGGTGGGCTGGCCGCGAGGGGCCTGGGGCTCCAGGCTGGGCAGGGCACTGTCTGAGGCTTGTCCTTGAAGTGGCATTTGCACAGATACAGGACAGGACAGTGGGCTGAGGAGCCCCAGACGTGCAGCTGTACGGTGCTACAATGGGACAGTGTGGCTTTGACAGGACACAGTGGGCCCCTGAGAAGGCATGTCGACCATCATATTTTCTTTCCCCAGAAGAATATTGGAGTGTGAGAGTCGTGCGGGGGACAGGGCTGCCCGAGAGCCCACCCTTTAAAGGAACAAGGCAGTCCCTCTCCCAGTCCCGGGGGGGGGGCAGACAGCTGGCCCCTTAAATATTAATCAGGGCGATTGACATGCAAATGTGCCCACACAAACCCCCGGCAGCTGTGCCCAGAGCCCTGGCCCAGGTGTAGCAGGCAGGCTGCCAGTGCCAGGGAGGTGGCTCCCAGCAAGAAGATGGCAGCACTGGGGACGAAAGCAGTGTCTTGGGGATCCTGCAGGCTGCCTCCTTGCTGGCTCTGGCCTGGAGGTCAGCCCAAGAATGATTTCTGACTGGTACTGAGTGCCTGGAGCCGTGCACAGTGTAAGTGAGAGACTGGGAGTCCAAGTCCACCTGGAGGCCCCTGGGAAGAAAGGCCTGCAGACGTTTTTAGAAGAGTCTCTGAGAGCCCTGTGGATACAGATCCGCTCTGACCCACACGGGGTCGCTGTGAGTCTGGACCACTCAATGCATCTAGCTTTTACAACAGTTTTTTAATCACAAACACATTCAAACCACAGTCAGAGCTATTGTGTTTAAAATGCTTTATTGTGAAGGGAGACGTGTGGGACTCCGGGCACACTCTGGTATGATGTCCATGTTGACTGTGTAAGCACCAGGGCTAGTCAGAAGGCAGCACCTCACACCTGGACTAACCCGTCACCTGGGTGATGCTGGGAGCTTGGGGTCTGTGGCTGAGATGAAGGTGATGGCACTTCCTCCCTGCTTTCAGGGCCACCCACACTTTTCTCTCATGGAGAGGAGACATGCCTTGCAGACAAAGGCCCTCTTGTGGATTGGGGCCTAGGGGCCCAGTCAGACTCTACTTGATACCCTGAGTGGGGCCAGGTGTCTTCTTCAGCGGGACCACTAACAAACATGTCCCGTGAGCCTCCCTCGGAAGGTGGGGCAGTAGGCCTTGCAGAACTCATTGCTAAAGAGGTTCACAGACCAGCCCCTCAAAGGCCACTTGCTTCTCCTGGGACACATATGGCCAAGATATTTCAGATGTCTGGTGGCTCAGGAAGGGGCTAGGGGATGACCTGACAGGCATGGTGGGACTGAGACACGAGTGAGAAGGCTGGGGCGCGGCCTGGGTGGGGAGGTGTAACCTGAGTGGGGAGAGTGAGGCATGGCCTAGGTGCTGGGGTCTGGGTGGTGAATGATGAGGGCATAGCTGGGGAGTTGCTGGCCTACAATTTGGGCTTTTTCCTCCAAGCTGAGGGCCAAGTCCAGTGAGGTGCCAACTATCACCCCGATAACGATGTACCACATCCAGGGCCAGAAGGCAGTGATTCCTGCTCCCCCATACACCTGCCAGCCCAGCCCTCTGAACTTGTAGTGGTGGAGGAGAGAGAGTGGCGTGGGGTGGGGATACTTGATTGATCTCCTCTGCGGAGCTGGAGACTAGGACTGGCTGGGAATGGCCAGTATTCCTCAGTTTCAACAAGGTGAGGCCCAGATCTGTTCCTATCACTTCCATGCTGATGACCGCTTTGACCCCACCTGTTTGTCCTCTCGCATCAGGGGCAGAGGGCTGGGGGCCACTGGTACACAGCTTGGCTGGCCACATGCCGCCCCAATAGGTCACCTAAGAGGCTGGGAGCACCGATGGGGGCCACCTCAGTGGGCTCTGAGATGGTGGAGAGTATGCGTGAACCCTGACGGGGGGGCCACAGTGTCAGCAGCAAAGGGACAGCCCTGGGCTCCAGGAGATCCAGTGTCTCAGCTGAGAAGGGGCTGGGGCGTGGAGGTGGGACTATGGCGGGGAGGGGGTGGTGTAGGTGAGAGCATGTGGGGGGGGATGTAGAGGTGGGGCTACAGCACTGGGGGGGGGGCTACAGCACCAGCATAAGGACATAGGAATGGGGTGCACTGGCATGGAGGACTCTCTATTACGGGGACTCTGGGACCCCCACAGACCACCTGTACGTCTCAGCCCCAGCCAGCGAGGGTCTTGCACCAGATGCCAGAGGTTTGCAGGACATAGGTGAGGGTGCAGGAGACATCTCTTTGCACCTGGTCCTTGTGTCTGCTTTATTAGAAAAATGAGGGGCGCCAGGCAGGTAGGCGGGATGCCCAGCCAGAGGAGAGGATGTGAGTCCTGCAGAGCCAGGGGCTCCTGGGCTCCGCTCCCTAAGCTGGTTCTGGATGCGGCCATTCCCTGGCCTTGAAGTAGGCCCTCAGGTCAGGGAGGCTGAGTGGGGGGAAGTAAGGGCCGATCCTCTTCCGGACCCACCACTCACCCTGTATAGCATGCCGGCCCCAAGGCTGGCTGAACTTGTAGCGATAATGCTCCGCGCGGATCCACCTGCGGAGGGAGAGTTACCTGCTGGTTCCACCAGCCCCTTCAGTCTGTGCACTCAGTCCATCCCAGACAACTGGGACTCCCCAGTCCATGCCAGGCAGTCCATGTTCCCAGTCCACCCCAGCCAACATGTGTTCCCCTGAGTCGATCCCAGACAACCAGTGCCCCTCCAGTCCATCTCAGTCAGCCTGTGCCTCTCAGTCCATCCTAGCTAGCCTGTGTCCTCCAGGTCCACCCTAGTCAGCTCATGCCCCCCTAGTTCATCCCAGTCAGCCCATGTCTCCCCATTCCATCCCAGCCAGCCTGTGCCCCTAGACCATTCCTGTGAGCCTGTGCCCTCCTTCAGTCCATCCTAACCAGCCTGTGCCCCACTAGTCCATCCCAAGCCTGTGCCTCCACACATCCTGCCCTCTTCTGCCCACTCCAGCTCTCCTGGACTCGAGTGGCCTAGGAGACCTCAGCCATGCAGGCAGTAGAGATCTCAGGGGCTCCAGTCTCGTGTTTCAGGTTCCTTGCAGGATGGCAGTGCTGTGTGAGCAGCTAGGTGATCCCTGGCCCCTCCCTCCTTAGAGCCCAGCTCCCATGAATTCAGTTACTTGGGAAAAACCAGAAGCCCACGTGGAGCCCACACATTTAACCATGCTCTTGGGGGTCCCAGAAGCTCACTGCATCCCACCATATTGTTGTTGTTATGTGCCACTGAGTTGACTGCGACTCATAGCAACCCTATCCTGAGCCAGTTTGTCCTGTTCAGGGTCCTCTCAGAGTGCTCCTTGGCTCCATGAGTTTGTTGCTTCTCCAAAATGTGAGCTCTTTTCAGCTATGGCATCTTTAAGTACTTTTTCAAGCCAGCCTTCTTTCTTCTAATTTTCAGGGCCTCCAGTCAATTCTGACTCATAGTGACCTCAACAGATCGGAACCTTGCCCTATCCAATGGATCCTCACTACCTCTGGTGCATGTGAGCCCAATGCTACAGTCTGTCCACCTCCCTGAGGGTCTTCCTCTTTCCCTGACCCTCTACCTTTCCAAACATGATATCCTTTTCTAATGTCTAGTCCCTTCTAACCACATGCCCAAAGAATGTGTGACGAAGCTTCACCATCCTTGCCTCCAAGGAGTGTCCTGGTTTCGCTTTCTCCAGGACATTTTCATTTGTTCTTCTTGCAGTCTTTGGGGTATTCCTACTCTTCTCCAACATTACAACTCAAAGGCACCGACTGTTCTATTCTTATTTATTGTCCAACTTCCAGATGTATAGCAAGTAACTGAAAAGAATCAGATACACCTTAGTCATTAAACTGACATCATTGCTCCTTAACATCTTAGAGAGGTCCTTGACAGTAGATTTTCTTAACTGCTGTTATGAAGGGTGTTGATTGTGGATCCAAGCCAATATGCAATAGTTGACAATATCAATCTTTTCTCCATCTCTCATGATGTTGCTTATTGGACTATGACAGTGTAAATTCTCTGATCTCACAGCCAAGCTGGTCCCTGAGGCTCTGCTCAGTATTTTCCTGGTTTATTTTCTCCCTGTTGTTTAGTCTGGATCATTCCTATTGTTTCCATCGTCAAGTACAAGGAGCTCTGGTGGTGCAGCGGTTAGGCACTCTGGAGCAAATGAAGGAAAAGGTGGGCAGTTTGAACCCACGAGTTGCTCTGCGGGAGAAAGATGCCCCAGTCTGCTCTGTAGGGACTTCTAGCTTTGGGAAGGTTACAGAGCAATCCAGCTCTGTCCTACAGGGTCGTGGCGCATCTGAATTGACTCAGTGGCACACAACAACATCCAAGTTCACGGACTCCCTTTCCCTTTCACTCTGCTGTGGATGTTTTTTATTGCCATGATTTACTTGTTCTAAGTTTTCCATTGGATTCTTCTTCCTCCCCTTTGGGGGACCTCTGCCATTTGTTTCGAGCCTGTTTGTCAGTGCTGCCAGAAGCACTCTCACGGTGGCTGCTCCCAAGACCCCTGTCACCCCATGCTGTCATCTCTAACACAGCCTTCCCCACTCTGTTTGAGATCTTCCTAGTTCTCCATAAGATGAGCGATTTTCAGTTAAAACTGCCACCTTCCCACAGACTTCTTCCCCGTCCTCCTTCCTTGCAAGGCCCCAGTGAGGGGTGTCCCCAGAGTCTCACCTGGGGGGCGCTCTGCCCTCGAATGGGTTGTGGGCAAGCAGGGACAGGGTCTGGGCATCGTTGGCCAGCAGTTTGCCTGCCAGGTGGATGATCCACTCGTGCTGCTCATAGGTCTGTGGGGAGGATGGGCAGGTTGGTGGTGGCTGGGGGACACCTGTGCTCCCCGGGCCACACCTGGGGGCAGAGCTCCTGGTGAAGCTGATGTGGGAGGCGGGCCTGCCTGGAGCAGCCTCCTAGGGCCCTTCCCTTCTTTGGCCTCCTGGAAGTCTAATGTCCAGCCTTCCTGCCTCAGACCCACCGAGTTAGGGGCAGAGGTCACAGGGTGGGGTGGACACTCTGAGAGGTAGTCTTCAGGGCAAGATGTGGTCCCCCATGGCCTATGGGGAGGTAGTAAGAGCAGGGACACGAGAGGGAAAGGCAGGGTCTTCTGGGGTGGAGTGAGGTGTCCCAGAATGGGATGGGGTCTCCATTGGTTGGAAGGGTCTCCCAGGGAGGGCAGCATCTCTCCATGGTGGGCTGGGTCTCCTGGGGTGAGATTCCAGCCAGTCATCTGGACAAGCCTCCCTCATGTGTGACCCCATGATGTCTGGTCCTCAGGGAGAACACAGGGTGTGTCAGGTAAGAAAGGCCTTGGACAAGCCCTTCCACTCCCCAGGGGGCTGAAATGAAGGCCCCCCGCCCCCGGCTCAGCCTCCCCCATCCTCCCCACCACCATCGCAGCCTCCCTGCCCCCAGGTCCCCTGCCTAGCTGTCCCCAAACTTCCCACTCCACAGCCCCTATGCAGCGGGCAGCCTTCATACCTGGAAGGCGGCGAACCACATTAGCCAGTCCAGGCGGTAGTGGTAGGGGGAGATGAGGCAGGGCTGACGATGGGGGTCACCTGGCTTGCACTTGAAGTCATAGTCCACCCACACAGCATCAGGATCACTGGCATTGGGGCTGGCCGTGCCCTGGAGGATGACCTCTGTGCGCTCTTTGGTGATGCTGGGAGAGAGTGGGTCGGACAGTTAGGGTCAGGCCTGGTCCCCTGACTCCCATTGCCTACATGCGCCTGGCCTCGTCCATACTGTACTGCGAGTGTGGACAGAACTGAGTCCACCAGAAAATATGTGCCAGTCCCAACGCGGGAACACGGATGGTGACTGTGACTAAAAGAGTCCTTATAGATGAGGCCGCATGAACGGGGATTTGACAGGAGGTGACACAGGAGACTGGCCTTTGCATGTAAGGCCAGACTGGGGGTGGGTCAGTTGAAAGGAGGTGACAGTGGGGGAGGAGGATCAGTAGACAGGAGATGACACTAGGAATGGTCAGCTGACAGAAGGTGGCACTGGAAGGGGTCAGCTGACAGATCATACTGGGGGAGGTTATCTGAGAGGAGATGGCACTGTGGCAGGTGAGTCAGTTGACAAGAGGTAACCCTGGGGGGTCAGTTGAGAGGACATTATCATTGAGGTGAGTGTGTCAGTTGGACAGGAGGTGATACTGGGGTGGGGAAGTCAGTGGATGAGAGTTGACAATGGGGTGGGTAGGTGTGATCACAGGAGGTGATACTTGGGTGGGTGGGTCACTTAGCCAGGAGGTGACACTGGGATAAGGACTCAGTCGGACAGGAGGTAACACTGAGGTGGGGAGGTCAGTGGATGGGAGTGAACACTGGAGTGAGTGGGTCAAAGGACAGGAGGTGACACTGGTATGGGTGAGCTAACTGACAGAGGTGACACTGGAGTGGGGAGGTCAATGGATGGGAGTGGAGGCTGGAGGGAGTGGGTCCAAAGAAAGGAGGTGACACTAGAGTGGGGAGGTCAGTGGATAGGAGCAGAGGCTGGGGTAAGGGGGTCCAATGACAGAAGGTGACACTGGTGTGTGTGTGTCTGTTGATAGGAGATGACACTGGTGTGTGTGTATTGACAGGAGGTGACACTGGGGGTGTGTATATGTGTGTGTCTGTTGATAGGAGGTGACACTGGTGTGTGTGTGTGTGTCTGTTGATAGGAGGTGACAATGGTGTGTGTGTGTCTGTTGATAGGAGGTGACATTGGTGTGTGTGTGTGTGTGTGTGTGTGTGTGTGTTGATAAGAGGTGACCCTGGTGTATGTGTGTGTGTGTGTGTTTGTTGATAAGAGGTGACACTGGGGGGAGTGTCTGTTGATAGGAGGTGACACTGGTTTTGTGTGTATGTGTATGTGTCTGTTGATAGGAGGTGACACTGGTGTGGGTGGGTCTCAGTCGGATGAGGGGTGCTCTGTAACAGGAATGAAGAATGACAGAGATGAGAGGAAGATGCCCCTCAAAGCTGGTGATGCAGCACAACCCAAGGACACCTGGGGAAAGAGGCAAGGACGCTCCCCAGAGGTGGGGGTGAGTGTGGCCAACTGATGCCTTCTTTCAGACTCCCAGCCTCCAGGACTCTGAGAGAATAGACTTCTGTTGCTCCGAGTCCTTGTCTGTGGGTCACTGCCCTGGTCACCCCAAGGACACACCAGTGGGCATGCTCCTGCCATGAGGACTTTCACACTCTGATTCCCTGCCCCTTCCAGGCCACGATGTGTCCTTAGGACAGAGAACATCCTGGCGTGACTCCAGGCAAGCAGGGAAGAGAGGAGGGAGAAGCCACACTCAAGCTTGAGGGGCTGTTGAAAAAGGACCCGTGTACCTTCCGAAGGCCCCGTAGGTGTTGACGATCCTGAGCGGGTTGAAGGAAACGTTCATCACCTGCCGGGAGCTGAGCAGGTTGAGTACCACAGGGATGCTGAGGTAGCCGATGAGGACAGCCAGCGAAAGGTGGACTGCCCGCCGCACCACACCACCTGGCCGGGACACACAGTGAGCTGTTGGGGTTAGTCATCCCCCAACCTGGTTTTCCGCCTGCTCTGGAGACTCTTCTGTCCCAGTCTCTGGGAACAGAGGCCAACAGTGTCACTTACCAAGTTTTGGCACTGGCTGGGTCCCCCGGGCCTCCTCCTCCTGTAGCTTCAGGACATGGTCTTTGAGGCCCCTGGCTCCAGAGGGGAACAGGAAGCCCAGGGCAGCATCATCGAAGCAGGCCAGGCTGGGCACGATGGTCAGCCAGTTCAGGAAGCTCAGGTTCCCGCTGATGATGAGGATCACCTGGGCGGGGGGCGAGGTATCGCTGGGTCAGGACGACACCCAGTGACGACCCAGGTGTTCATGCCACAACAGCAGTGGGGGCTCCGACTCACCCACTCAGCTATAGAGCAAAGACCGACAATGTCAGATGTTGTCAAGGCTGTGGAGCAACTGGAATCACCCACTGCTGGTAGGAATGAAAGCTGCCAGTACTGCTGCCTTTTGAGGACAGCAGCTCCACTTCTGGGTACTTCTCATGTAACAACCTGTGCTTTCAAACTAACCCTGTAAAACCTGTCACAGGTTCATTGTTTTTCAATGCTGTGTAATATTCCATTGTATGACTATACCATAGTTTTCCTATCCATTCACCTGTGGATGTGCACCTGGGTTGCTTCCATTTCTTTGCTATTCTAAATAATGCAGCAATAAATATTGCTGTGCATATATCTGCTTGGATGGTGCTTATGGTTCCTTAGGGTATATTCCCAGTAGTGGAATTGCTGTGTCTAATGGTATTTCTATTTCCAACTTTTTTGAGAAAGCACCAGACTGCCTTCCATACTGGTTGCACTATTTTACACTCTCACCAACACTGAATATGGTAAGAGTGGATAGATAATAAACATTGCATTGGAACAGAAGAAAGAAAGAGCTGTCTAAAATGAATATATGATTAGGCATTATATGTACAACAGCCCAGAATATGAGATATATCATTGCAAAAAGGATGGGGTGGGGGTGGGGCAGGAGGTAGGTAACTGCAATAATGAATGAACATTTATAGAAAAAAAGTGAACTGGGGAAGGGGCTGGGAGGGCAAGGGGGTAAAATGTGCAACAATAAATGAATGAAGGAGATGAAAAAGTGAGGAAAAATGGAGTTGCTTTCATAGTTAAAAAAGTCATTGCTAGATCTGTCTTGAAGTACAATATTGTCAGTGACAGGATAATATCTATACGCATACAAGGAAGTCCAGTGAATACCACTATCATTCAAATATATGCACC